CTCTCTCTCCTCTCTCTCTCTCGTCTCTTCTCTCTTCTCTCACTCTCTCTCTCTCTCTCTCTTCTCTCTCTCTCTTCGCATACTAATGCAACACGTCAGTGGTTTTTCCTGCTTTAAGGTGACTATGCAACATTGCACAGTCACCTTGCAGTCTCGCTCAACACACTGGCCTACAGCCTTTCTGTTCTGTATGATAGTTACACTGTGGGAACACCAGCAGTGTTGCTACACTGTGGGAACACCAGCAGTGTTGCTACACTGTGGGAACACCAGCAGTGTTGCTACACTGTGGGAACACCAGTAGTGTTGCTACACTGTGGGAACACCAGCAGTGTTGCTACACTGTGGGAACACCAGTAGTGTTGCTACTCTGTGGGAACACCAGCAGTGTTGCTACACTGTGGGAACACCAGTAGTGTTGACTACTCTGTGGGAACACCAGCAGTGTTGCTACACTGTGGGAACACCAGCAGTGTTGCTAACTGTGTGGAACACCAGCAGTGTTGCTACACTGTGGGAACACTAGCAGTGTTGCTACATCTGTGGGAACACCAGCGTGTTGCTACACTGTGGGAACACCAGCAGTGTTGCTACACTGTGGGAACACCAGCAGTGTTGCTACTCTGTGGGAACACCAGCAGTGTTGCTACACTGTGGGAACACCAGCAGTGTTGCTACACTGTGGGAACACCAGCAGTGTTGCTACACTGTGGGAACACCAGTAGTGTTGCTACTCTGTGGGAACACCAGCAGTGTTGCTACACTGTGGGAACACCAGCAGTGTTGCTACACTGTGGGAACACCAGCAGTGTTGCTACACTGTGGGAACACCAGCAGTGTTGCTAACTCTGTGGAACAATAGCAGTGTTGCTACTCTGTGGGAACACCAGCAGTGTTGCTACACTGTGGGAACACCAGCAGTGTTGCTACACTGTAGGAACACCAGCAATGTTGCTACACTGTGGGAACACTAGTAGTGTTGCTACTCTGAGGGAACACCAGCAGTGTTGCTACTCTGTGGGAACACCAGCAGTGTTGCTACACTGTGGAACACCAGCAGTGTTGCTACACTGTGGGAACACCAGCAGTGTTGCTACTCTGTGGGAACAATAACAGTGTTGCTACTCTGTGGGAACACCAGCAGTGTTGCTACACTGTGGGAACACCAGCAGTGTTGCTACACTGTGGGAACACCAGCAGTGTTGCTACACTGTGGGAACACCAGCAGTGTTGCTACACTGTGGGAACACCAGCAGTGTGCTACACTGTGAGAACACCAGCAGTGTTGCTACACTGTGGGAACACCAGCAGTGTTGCTACACTGTGGGAACACCAGCAGTGTTGCTACACTGTGGGAACACCAGCAGTGTTGCTACTGTGTGGGAACACAAGCAGTGTTGCTACACTGTGGGAACACTAGCAGTGTTGCTACACTGTGGGAACACCAGCAGTGTTGCTACACTGTGGGAACACCAGCAGTGTTGCTACACTGTGAGAACACCAGCAGTGTTGCTATACCACGTGTGGAACACCAGCAGTGTTGCTACCTGTGGGAACACCAGCAGTGTTGCTACACTGTGGGAACACCAGCAGTGTTGCTACACTGTGGGAACACCAGTAGTGTTGCTACACTGTGAGAACACCAGCAGTGTTGCTACACTGTGGGGACACCAGCAGTGTTGCTACTCTGTGGGAACACCAACAGTGTTGCTACACTGTGGGAACACCAGCAGTGTTGCTACACTGTGGGAACACCAGTAGTGTTGCTACACTGTGGGAACACCAGCAGTGGTTACTACACTGTGGGAACACCAGTAGTGTTGCTACACTGTGGGAACACCAGTAGTGTTGCTACACTGTGGGAACACCAGCAGTGTTGCTACACTGTGGGAACACCAGCAGTATTGCTACACTGTGGGAACACCAGCAGTGTTGCTACACTGTGGGAACACCAGCAATGTTGCTACACTGTGGGAACACCAGCAGTGTTGCTACACTGTGGGAACACCAGCAGTGTTGCTACACTGTTGAACACCAGTAGTGTTGCTACACTGTGGGAACACCAGCAGTGTTACTACACTGTGGGAACACCAGCAGTGTTGCTACACTGTGGGAACACCAGTAGTGTTGCTACACTGTGGGAACACCAGTAGTGTTGCTACACTGTGGGAACACCAGTAGTGTTACTACACTGTGGGAACACTAGCAGTGTTACTACACTGTGGGAACACCAGTAGTGTTACTACACTGTGGAACACTAGCAGGTTGCTACACTGTGGGAACACCAGTAGTGTTACTACACTGTGGGAACACTAGCAGTGTTGCTACACTGTGGGAACACCAGCTAGTTAGGTTCCCTTGTCATATACCATCACACAGAATGGTTGGCATACTAAGGGTTGGAATGTCAGTCTGAGCTGAGAGATTCTGTATTGTCAGTCTGAGCTGAGAGATTCTGTATTGTCAGTCTGAGCTGAGAGATTCTGTTTTGTCAGTCTGAGCTGAGAGATTCTGTATTGTCAGTCTGAGCTGAGAGATTCTGTTTTGTCAGTCTGAGCTGAGAGATTCTGTATGACAGTCTGAGCTGAGAGATTCTGTTTGTCAGTCTGAGCTGAGAGATCTGTATTGTCAGTCTGAGCTGAGAGATTCTGTATTGTCAGTCTGAGTGAGAGATTCTGTTTTGCAGTCCTGAGCTGAGAGATACTGTTTTGTCAGTCTGAGCTGAGAGATTCTGTATTGTCATCTGAGTGAGAGATTCTGTATTGTCAGTCTGAGCTGAGAGATTCTGTATTGTCAGTCTGAGCTGAGAGATTCTGTATTGTCAGTCTGAGCTGAGAGATTCTGTATTGTCAGTCTGAGCTGAGAGATTCTGTATTGTCAGTCTGAGCTGAGAGATTCTGTTTTGTCAGTCTGAGCTGAGAGATTCTGTATTGTCAGTCTGAGCTGAGAGATTCTGTATTGTCAGTCTGAGCTGAGAGATTCTGTTTTGTCAGTCTGAGCTGAGAGATTCTGTTTGTCAGTCTGAGCTGAGAGATTCTGTTTTGTCAGTCTGAGCTGAGAGATTCTGTATTGTCAGTCTGAGCTGAGAGATTCTGTTTTGTCAGTCTGAGCTGAGAGATTCTGTTTTGTCAGTCTGAGCTGAGAGATTCTGTATTGTCAGTCTGAGCTGAGAGATTCTGTATTGTCAGTCTGAGCTGAGAGATTCTGTATTGTCAGTCTGAGCTGAGAGATTCTGTATTGTCAGTCTGAGCTGAGAGATTCTGTATTGTCAGTCTGAGCTGAGAGATTCTGTATTGTCAGTCTGAGCTGAGAGATTCTGTTTTGTCAGTCTGAGCTGAGAGATTCTGTTTGTCAGTCTGAGCTGAGAGATTCTGTTTTGTCAGTCTGAGCTGAGAGATTCTGTATTGTCAGTCTGAGCTGAGAGATTCTGTATTGTCAGTCTGAGCTGAGAGATTCTGTATTGTCAGTCTGAGCTGAGAGATTCTGTATTGTCAGTCTGAGCTGAGAGATTCTGTATTGTCAGTCTGAGCTGAGAGATTCTGTATTGTCAGTCTGAGCTGAGAGATTCTGTATTGTCAGTCTGAGCTGAGAGATTCTGTATTGTCAGTCTGAGCTGAGAGATTCTGTATTGTCAGTCTGAGCTGAGAAATTCTGTATTGTCAGTCTGAGCTGAGAGATTCTGTATTGTCAGTCTGAGCTGAGAGATTCTGTATTGTCAGTCTGAGCTGTGAGATTCTGTATTGATAGTCTCTCTCTCTCTCTCTCTCTCTCTCTCTCTCTCTCTCTCTCTCTCTCTCTCTCTCTCTCTCTCTCTCTCTCTCCTCTCTCTCTCTCTCTCTCTCTCTCTCTTATTACAATGTTTTGCAGGTACACTAAACGGATAAATCTACCATTGTACTGAGCCACAGGTTGCGCCCAGGTAATCACAGGTAATTACCTCTTTTTCTCGTGTTTTACCAGTGATGACTCAAGTCATTTTTCCAAGTCATCCATCCTGCATCCACACGCTTCCAAGTCATCCATCCTGCATCCACACGCTTCCAGGTCACCCATCTTGCATCCATACACTTCCAGGTCACCCATCCTGCATCCATACACTTCCAGGTCACCCATCCTGCATCCATACGCTTCCAGGTCACCCATCTTGCATCCACACGCTTCCAGGTCGCCCATCCTGCATCCACACACTTCCAGGTCATCCATCCTGCATCCACACATTTGTCTCTACGAGACGTTGAGCTCTAGCTGCTAGTCCTTTCCATAATAACTCTGTTAGGGCTCTAAAAGCAATAATGTATGGGTAAGCAAAACCTGGAAGACTCCAGGAGATGCTGGATTTGTGGAGACTTCCTGGAAGAAGAGTCAAGAAGGAGGAGGAAGAGGAGAAGGAAAGGTCCGTGGAAAGGGAAGAAGGGATGAGGGAAAAATAATGGAAGGAGAAAGAGGAATAAACGTAGGAGAGAAAACGAGGAGACGAAGCGAGATGAGAGGATGTGGAATAAACAAGGATTACGAGAAAGAGAGAGAGGAAGTGAAGGAAAGAAGGAATAGAGAGGAAATTATTATTATTATAATCAAGGGGAAGCGCTAAGCCCGTAGGATTATACAGCGCCTGGGGGGGGATGTGGAAGGCATTAAGGCTTAATTCGGGGAACTGGAGCACAGATCCAATTCCCTAAATCAAGAGCCCCTCACCAACATCAAGGAACCTTCCTTGAGGGGTCGGGGAACTGGAGCACAGATCCAATTCCCTAAATCAAGAGCCCCTCACCAACATCAAGGAACCTTCCTTGAGGGGTCGGGGAACTGGAGCACAGATCCAATTCCCTAAATCAAGAGCCCCTCACCAACATCAAGGAACCTTCCCTGAGGGGAACAGAGAGGAAAGAAAGTGTTGAGAAGAGGGTAAGGGGTTACCTTCCAGACGAAGAGAACCTGAAGGTTAAATGAGCCAGACGTTGGTCCCTCACCTTCATTAATAATCCACGACGCCCGGATCTAAACTCTCAACCAAATTTATTTCGCATAAAATAAAATGAAAATTCATACTTTAGTGTCTTTGATGATGGTGGTGAGTGCTAGGTCGGACGAGAGGTCAGATAAGACCTCGCAGGAGGGATAGGGGGGGACACTTTAGGGGATGGACATCTTGGGCGTGACGGCTAGTGTGGAGAAGAACTACCGTCTGGCCTTGGGTTTCTTGCTGGGCAGTGCACGGGAAGGGCGGGCTCCTGTGGTAGGCGAAGGTGATACGAGACTTGTGGCACTATCCAACTGCTCCGTGGAGGGACGGTGGATCAACAAGGAGAACGACAGGGAGATGGCCATCTTCCTGTCTCACCGTAGCGAGAGGACCTACAAGTCTACCTACAAGGTAGTGCAGTACCTGGGCTCGCGGGACTCTCGCGTGGGTAAGGGCGACACTCAAGACCCGAGGGTCTTGTCCCTTGAACTTAGGGACAGACGGAACAGGCGCCTGCCCTCAACCCATCTTCTGCTGGCTTGCTTTAGGAACCACCTGTGGACCTTGGAGCTGCCCTTGCAGAAGGAGAATCAGATTAAACCCTCAAATCGCTCCTCGACGATTATAGTCTACAGGAAGTACATCTCCGACTCCTCTTCTGAGACGTCTGTCACCTCCTCCCAGACGCCCCTCTCAGCTAAGACAACCTCTCCTCCTCAGAAGTCCCTTTCAGCTAAGACAACCTCCTCTCCTCAGAGGTCCCTCTCAGCTAAGACAACCTCCCCTACTCAGAGGTCCCTCTCAGCTATGAAAATCTCTCCTTCTCAGGGGTCCCTCTCAGCTAACAAATCTCTTATGCCCCCGACCTCCCTCGCTAGAGCTAAGCGCTCTCTAATACCACCTGGAAATTCTTCGTCGGCTTCACTCTCCCAAAGTCCAGAATCCAACTCCACACGCCTGTTGATTAACGTATCGGGTCCGGTACGTCTCTTCAAGAACTTTTCCGAGAGCACCGTAACGAATCCAAACACGGATGAATCTGGAATGTGTTTGCAGTGTCAAACGACTCCAGGAAGTTGTTGCTCCACCGAAGCCAGTGTTGGACACCCGGAGGATGTAAAACCGAACGGAACTGTTCAGCCCACGGTCCCAGGTGATGAACCCATCATCCCAACCGCCGAACCCACCGCCCGAGGGGCTCAACTTACAGTTCGAACTAGTGATCCCACGTGGTTCAAACCTACGCCTACACCGAACTGGGCCACCCGGTCCCGTCGAACTCATACCCACACGGTCGGTTGATGTTAACTCGTCCAACATTGGGTCGGACACGTGTCACCTAACTCACCCTCAACATCCAGTTTGTTCTGATCAACTTATTTTCCGCTTTGGACTGAGAATTTGTCGTTGATCCAGAAATGTGCAGCATCCAATTTGATCAGTTTAGCTGATTACGCTTTACCCTACGAATTTCGCTGATGGACACGAATGTGCGCTGGATGTGTGAGTGTTGTGGGGTCAGTGGTTTGGGTTGTGTGTCTAACCTATTGTGGTTAGGGTGAGTCATAGCTCTGCCGCTCGTTCACGTAGGCTCTAAGACCTTGACTCTCCTGTCCATGAGCTCTACAACACCTCGCTAAACAGTGTTCTTGCATTTCCATAGTACTTTCTTGGCTATTTCTGTGCCTTTGTTGTGTGTAGATTACTGTCTACTATCTCTTTGTATATTGTGTTTAACTTACAATTGTGGCTCTTGTTTGTGTACCCCTTGGACTTCTGTCTTGTCACGTTGTGTGTGTGTTGTGTTGTGTGTGTTCTTTGCGTGTGTGAGTGTTGTGTGTGTGTGTGTGTGTGTGTGTGTGTGTGCCAGGTGTCTGGGTTTGTGTCTACGACATCATTATTTGTGAGGGAAATGGAGGCAATAATTGCTGGTGCTGACAGTGCCAGGCACTCAAGATTGATGACTCTCACTGATTCTTGCACACACACACACACACTCGACAGTGCTTGCTCTGTCAATATGCTTGAGGAAACTCTTGCCTTTGTGTGTGTGTGTGTGTGTGCCTTTGTTAGTTACCAGTTGTCAAAGGCACTTGTCGATAGACACTTGGCCTGTTGTTTGTAGTTAGTGGTGTGTGTGTGTTTGCGCTTGTCTGTTGTGTATGGTGTATGTGCATGTGTATGTGTGTGTGTGTGTATTAACTTTATATGCACTCGCCAATTTGTGTTTCGGGGGGTCGAACTCTTGGACCCAAGACAACCTATGTATGTACTGCCTTGTCCTTGCCAAGGTTCGAGTCTTGGTTCCTATAGTACCTATCTCTTGTTTATAGGTGGTTAATGGGGGTTTCAAGACTACTACACGAGGGTCATTAAGGCTGGTTGGTTGGTTAATGGGGTTTCAAGACTATCTACTACACGAGGGTCATTAAGACTGGTTGGTTGGTTAATGGGGTTTCAAGACTACTACACACGAGGGTCATTAAGGCTGGTTGGTTGGTTAATGGGGTTTCAAGACTATCTACTACACGAGGGTCATTAAGGCTGGTTGGTTGTTAATGGGTTCAAGACTATCACTACACGAGGTCATAGGCTGTTTTTAATGGTTTCAAACTATCTACTACACGAGGTCATTAAGGCTACATGTCACTGTACTCACCATCAAGAATACTTAAATACCTAATAGATTAATGTAACTACCGAGTGTATATACACCTCAGTGTATATACACCTCTCAGTGTATATACACTGAGATATACACCTATCAGTGTATATACACTGAATATACACCTTCAGTGTATATACACTGAGATATACACCTCTCAGTGTATATACACTGAGATATACACCTCTCAGTGTATATACACTGAGATATACACCTCTCAGTGTATATACACTGAGATATACACCTCTCAGTGTATATACACTGAGATATACACCTCTTACTGTACACACAACCAGTATATATAATCAAAACTCTTGAGACCACGACAATAATTCAGACTCATACTTACTAAAATTACCGTGTAAACAAGAGCTTAGTGAGCAACAGAGCTGTTGTTACTGGCATTTAGTGCCAGGGGGATGGTGTAATTTCGAGCTTCAAAATATGTGGTTACAGCTGCTGGGGTTGCTGTAATCTGTGGTGGCTGTGTTACAGTGTCTTGCAGCTTACACCAGACACATACACGCAGACTTGTATGGTCATCCTTACATCATACACGAGACAGAGAGGCTGTATGATCATACACCATGCACCAGACACATATACAGACGCTGTATGATCATACACCATGCACCAGGCACTTGCACATATGCTGTATGATCATACAGCATGCACCAGACACACATATGCTGTATGATCATACAGCATGCACCAGACACACATATGCTGTATGATCATACAGCATGCACCAGACACTTACAGATAGGCTGTATGATCATACAGCATGCACCAGACACATACACAGACGCTGTATGATCATACAGCATGCACCAGACACATACACAGACGCTATATGATCATACACCATGCACCAGACACATACACAGAGGCTGTATGATCATACAGCATGCACCAGACACTTACAGATAGGCTGTATGATCATACAGCATGCACCAGGCACATACACAGAGGCTGTATGATCATACAGCATGCACCAGACACATACACAGAGGCTGTATGATCATACAGCATGCACCAGACACTTACAGATAGGCTGTATGATCATACACCATGCACCAGGCACATACACAGAGGCTGTATGATCATACAGCATGCACCAGACACATACACAGACGCTGTATGATCATACAGCATGCACCAGGCACATACACAGAGGCTGTATGATCATACAGCATGCACCAGACACATACACATAGGCTGTATGATCATACAGCATGCACCAGACACATACACATAGGCTGTATGATTATACAGCATGCACCAGACACTTACACATAGGCTGTATGATCATACAGCATGCACCAGACACATACACATAGGCTGAATGATCATACAGCATGCACCAGACACATACACAGAGGCTGTATGATCATACAGCATGCACCAGACACATACACAGACGCTGTATGATCATACAGCATGCACCAGACACATACACAGAGGCTGTATGATCATACAGCATGCACCAGACACATACACAGAGGCTGTATGATCATACAGCATGCACCAGACACATACACATAGGCTGTATGATCATACAGCATCCACCAGACACATACACATAGGCTGTATGATCATACAGCATGCACCAGACACATACACAGAGGCTGTATGATCATACAGCATGCACCAGACACATACACAGAGGCTGTATGATCATACAGCATGCACCAGGCACATACACATAGGCTGTATGATCATACAGCATACATTTACAGCATGTATACAGCATATATTTTTTTCGTTAGGTTCAGAATTATTTTGGCGAAGTTATTGCAAACACAAATTTTCTCCTGCTTATTCGGCAAGAAGAGCGTTGCTATTTAAGCCAAAATTCACAAGTTCTACTTATTCAACACGGACATATTTATATAATATACGTGTAAGGAGACTTGCCCAGACGTTTCGCTCACTCTGAAATGGCAATTCCATAAGATTTAATGCAATAACCACATGTCGAATCAACGGGTCCCGTTGTCTGTTAACGGTCGTACTGTAGAGGTCTGTGACCACAACAGGAGGAAGGGGGGGGGGGTTAGGGTAGTTATTAGAGTGTACCAGTGACATGAAGGTCATTAACTACTGAATTGCAAGTGAGCAATGATGGGAATTGTTACGTAACGAAGTTGATTGAGTCGTGACTGTTTTGTGGAGGTCACGTGACTTGACCGACATGTTGGTGGGTAGTTACGAGGGCTGTGATTGGCTGGTGGTTGTCACGTGACTTGACCGCCATGTTGGTGGGTAGTTACGAGGGCTGTGATTGTGTGTTGACCGTGACTTGAACCCCATGTAGGGGGTTTCCTACACTCTGAAATGGCAATCCTGGTTTTAGTGCTTGACCGCATGTTGGTGGGTAACGTTACGAGGGCTGTGGGAGGAGGCTGGGGGGGGGTTGTTAGTGACCTGACCCATGAATGTGTAGTTAACTAGGGCATTGAATGGCTGATGGTTGTTACGTAACGACCCCAAGGGTTCTTTGGTGTTGTACGAGGGCTGTGATTGTTGGGATTTGGACTGTGCCCCGTTCCCCAATTGGCGGGAATTTACAAGGCTGGTATTCTCCGGGTTACTTACCCCATTGATTGTAAAAAAGTTACTAACGAAGCTGTGAGTGGCTGGTGGTTGTCACGTGACTTGACCGACATGTTGGTGGGTAGTTACGATGGCTGTCTCCCCTTGTTGTTTGCTTGACCCCATGTTGCTGTGTCCCTCGTTGCTACGGGTCTTGTTGCTTGTTACGTTGCTCTGACCCCTTTGTGGCTAGTTCCCCTTGTGTTTGCTGTGTTGTTCTGATTCCCCTTTGTTGGTGGGTGTACACTTGATTGTGTGGTTTCCTTTTTGCTCTGTCCCCATGTTGGCCTTACACTTGTTGCTTGTCACTTTGCTTTACCCCTTTTTTTGGTTGTTGATAGGGCTGTGATTGTGTGTTGTGGTGTGTCCCGATGTTTGTGTGTATGTGTTTTGTGTGCTCTGTCTTTGTGTGTGTCTTGTTGTTGTTTGTGTGCTGTCCGTTGCTCCTTTCTATTGTAGTTGTCCATTGTGGGAACCCGCATGTTTGCTCCCCTATTCTTGCTCTGTAACATTGTTGAACTTCCCCAGTGTTGCTCCTTTCTTATGTGTTACATTGGGGGCTCTCCTTGTTGCACACTTTTTATGTGATGTTACGTTTTTGGGTTGCTGCGTGTTTGTTGCATTTTTTGTGTTTTTGTGTTGGATGTTATTGTGGGAAGCGTTTGCTACACTATTCTATATGATAGTTACATTGTGGGAACACCAGCAGTGTTGCTACACTATTCTATATGATAGTAACATTGTGGGAACACCAACAGTGTTGCTACACTATTCTATATGATAGTTACATTGTGGGAACACCAGCAGTGTTTGCTACACTATTCTATATGATAGTTACATTGTGGGAACACCAACAGTGTTGCTACACTATTCTATATGATAGTACATTGTGGGAACACCAGCAGTGTTGCTACACTATTCTATATGATAGTTACATTGTGGGAACACCACAGTGTTGCTACACTATTCTATATGATAGTAACATTGTGGGAACACCAGCAGTGTTGCTACACTATTCTATATGATAGTTACATTGTGGGAA